AATGGAACCCTCCTATCGGTGCACAATTGCTCAAAATTCTGGGCCATATGTGAAATGAGAAGACACCAGACGGGACCAGAGACCCGCTTGAGCCCTGTCTAGAGGCCTCAAACCACGGCCCACCCCCCCGCTCACCATGAAATGTGCAAATGAGGTGTGCAGGAAAGGGGCACCAAAAAATGTTTAAGGACAGCCGAAACAATGCTCCCGCCAGGCTTATGAGGTGGAACTCTCAGGAATACGGTCCGGAGCGGTGGCTACGCTCAGCGCGCTCCTTGGAAACAGCGGCGGTGGCAGTGAAGCGGCCGTCCTTCCCCAGCCCCACGCCCTTAAACTGACTGCTCCGCAGACAAACGGACAGACACACAGCGCCTCGGTGCGAAGCCTAACTGACCGACGGACAGCGGGCGCCTCTGCACAACGCACTGCCCGCAGCACCAGCCTGGAGACGCCGCGGCGGAGGCTGCAGGGGCGGAAGTGCGTCATCGCCTTTCCGGCCCTCGAACCCGCGCCCGCTCTAGCACGCCCGGAGGCCGTCTCTGCGTGTCGTTGGTCCTTCCGAGCCTCTCAGTCCCGCTTGGAGCTCTGTGCCCCCCTCCTACGGAGCTGCGGCCCTAGTTGGGAAGGCTGCGGCGTGTCGCAGGGCTCCCGGGGCTCGCTCTGGGTCGCTGGCCACTCGGGAGGGTTGGCCGGGCAGCCGCATAGGCCAATTTCCCCGGGGCAAGCTAGCTTCCGCCCGGTAAGAGCCAGTAAGGACTGCCCCCGCATCAGTCCCTGCTCAGTGGCTCCAGGTGGACTGGACCAGTGCAGCGCAATAGGTCAGAGCTCCAGTTCGCCCTGAGCCGGCCGACCCTGCGCTGTGCTGAAAACGCTTCCCCCTCCTCCGAGCCCTCCAGCCACATTGGCGCCTGAGTGGATCTGCACCCGTTCCTTGAACGGCCTGCCACCTACACTGAGCAGCACGTCCCGCATGCTCCCCGACCTCCACGTCTAGCCCCACCACCACACAGCACGCACCGACCTGGCTTTGTCTTCCTCCAGGCCTCCACTTAATCACCACCTAATCCGTGTGGCTTTCCTGACTCCCCACCCCACTTCCCGCTCTGTTCCTCTCACTTGCAACACTTAACACAATTGTAATTAGAGAGTTGTTGAGGCAGTGATTTAATATATTTTCCCCTTCCTTAGACCATACACTCCAAGAGGGCAAGGGACCGTGCTCTCTGATTCGAGGTTGGTTATAGCAGAAGTTCTGGCCGTAAGTGCCCAGTAAATATCTGTTAATGGATAGATGGGGCTGTTCCAAGGAAGGAGGGAATGAATAAGTATAGGTGAGAATGAATGTAAGGTGATGCTGCGATCCATTAAAAACTGGGGAACAAAGTTCAACTCATGGAAGTTGGCCCACAATTTCTGACTGTAGATTCTAAGGCGGAGGAGATACTGATGACTTGCTGTGGTTGCCCTAAGCAATCAGAGAGGACTCCCTGGAGGCAGAGTGTGGACATTTCCAGCTCCCCACAAAGGGGAGCTGCACAAGGCAAAGGGAATTCACTCTTTGGGAAGGGAATTCAAGACACGTGGAAATCTGAGGAAACAGAGTCCCTATTTGTGGGTCACTTAGGAAGTTAAAGAGTAACCTGGGGGTTATCAGAACTAGTTGAATTGAGACTGAACCTCACGTTATGGCAACAATGGCCTTAGAGTCAAAGGCACAGCTTTCTCCTTGGGCCTGCTGGCAGGGACCTGGTGTGACACCTCACAGAAGGTCCCCAGTAAATGGTCAGCTCACCTCACCGAAGCCAGGACAGCTGTGAGAGAAAGTCCCCACTACACTGTGAACCTACATCCTCATCATGAAATAAAGCAATTGGTTTGAAGTCCTTATCATCTCTGACATTTCGTATTTGTAAGACTCCCAATCTGCCCTTGCTGGACAAGTGTGCAAGCCAATGGGGCCAGCAGGCCCCAGGTTCAGGGACTGGAGTCTGAACCTCTGCTTGAAGTGTCGCCAATCTGGGAGGCTCTGAGGATCATTTAAAGATGAGGAAGGGAGAGATATGAAACTTCATAAGTGCTTGGTGCATTTCTGCTGAATGAGCTAACAAATTAATGAATAAATGAATGTATGAGAAAATAAAGGTGTGAATGGTCAGTAAACCACGCAGGTGGAGTGGGATCAAAGAAAGCTTTGTAGACTCATGCTGGAGCTGAGTCTGAAAAGATCAGAGCAAATCCTAAGCTGGTGAGGGGACTGTGACCACAGCTAGAGGCTTCTTTCTGGGCTTCCTTCTGGTCCCACCCCCCTCCTCCCACCAGGTTGAAGCAAGCGCTAAATCTAAGAGAACACTTTGCCCCCAGATACTGTCTCACCAGGGTTATTTAATAGAACTTACAGCTACAGGGCAAGGTCCAGGTGGACAGATCTTTTCATCCCCAACTTGTCACAGCCTCTCAAAAGCTCTCTGGCACCCAGAGAACAGTGTGTCCAGAGCTCAACCCGGAAAAGCATAGCCATGGTGCTATGGGGTCTGATGCTGGGAGCCCTGCTGGTGGTCACCGTGGGGTGCCTGTGCCTGCTGGGGCTACTCCGGCGACGCAGGCCCCAGGAGCCCCCTCTGGATAAGGGCTCCATACCCTGGCTGGGCCATGCCATGGCTTTCCGGAAGAACATGCTTGAATTCCTGAAGCACATGCGGGCCAAGCATGGAGATGTGTTCACAGTGCAGCTAGGGGGCAAGTACTTTACCTTTGTCATGGACCCCCTCTCCTTTGGCCCCATCCTCAGGGATGCACAGAGAAAACTAGACTTCGTGGAGTATGCAAAAAAACTGGTGCTAAAGGTATTTGGATACCAGTCGGTGCAAGGAGACTACCGGATGATACACTCTGCCAGCACCAAGTACCTCATGGGGGACGGCCTGGCAGATCTCAACAAAACCATGCTGGACAACCTGGCCCTCGTTATGCTGGGGCCCACGGGCCAGAGTCTGGGTTCTAGTTGCTGGCGTGAAGATGGCCTCTTCCACTTCTGCTACAATGTCTTGTTCAAGGCAGGCTACCTGAGCTTATTCGGCCATACAAAGGACCAGGAGCAGGACCTGCAACAGGCAGAGGAGTTATTTGTCCAGTTCCGCAAGTTTGACAACTTGTTCCCCAGGTTTGTTTATTCCTTGCTGGGGCCCCGGGAGTGGCTAGAAGTGGGCCGGCTCCAGAGTCTGTTCCACAAGATACTCTCTGTGCAGCACAACTTGGAAAAGAATGGCATCAGCAACTGGATATCCTACATGCTTCAGTATCTGAGGGAGCAGGGAGTAGCCCCAGCCATGCAGGACAAGTTCAACTTCATGATGCTCTGGGCCTCCCAGGGGAACACAGGCCCAACCTCTTTCTGGGCCCTCTTGTTCCTGCTAAAGCACCCAGAAGCCATGCGGGCTGTGAGGGAAGAGGCCACCCAAGTCCTGGGGGAGGCCAGGCTGAAGGCCAGGCAGTCCTTTGACCTTGACATCAGCGCCCTGCACTGCACTCCAGTGCTGGACAGTGTGATGGAGGAGACGCTGCGGCTGGGGACTGCACCCACCCTCCTCAGGGTGGTGCACAGTGACCATGTCCTGAAGATGGCCAATGGACAGGAGTACCTGCTCCGAAGTGGAGACATCGTGGCCCTCTTCCCCTATCTTTCAGTGCACATGGACCCTGACATCCACCCGGAACCCACTGCCTTCAAGTATGATCGCTTCCTCAACCCCAATGGTAGCCGAAAAGTGCACTTCTGCAAGGCAGGCCAGAAGATCCACCACTATACCATGCCGTGGGGCTCAGGTGTCTCCATCTGCCCTGGGAGGTTCTTGGCCATCAGTGAGATGAAGCTCTTTGTCCTGCTCATGGTCACATACTTTGACCTGGAGCTGGTGGACCCTGACACATCTGTGCCACCCATGGACCCCCACCGCTGGGGCTTTGGTACCACCCAGCCCAGCCACGAGGTGCGCTTCCGTTACCGCCTGCGACCTACCCACTGAGCTCTGCCAAGGTGGCCGTGAGCCTAGCCTCAAGACGTCCCTTGGGAGTCTCCACCTCCTCCAGCCCCTCTGAAGGCCCACCTTTCCCTCGGGTTCTGTGGCATCACCTTCCTCTGTCCTGGTCGCCTTCCTTCGCTCTCTGACTTTTCCCAAACTTAGTGTGGGAAATAACGTGTACCTTGACAAGTCCTGCAGTACAGAAACTGGTTATCGTGAGTAACGGAGTGTCTTGCTAATGTTACCCTCCATCCTCCCACCTCGCTTTATTATTTTCCTCGACGCCTATTCCACATCCCGTGGAATTCAGGTTCGTCCAGAGCAATACAAGGCAAGCCTCGTGTGTAATTTTTCATTTCCTAGTTGACACATTTTTAAAAAAGCAAAAAGAAACAGGTGAAGTTCATGTTTATATTTAACTGAGCCTAATATATCCAAAATATTAGCATTTCATTATGTCATCAATAAAAGAATATTAGTGAAATAATTTTACGTTTCTTTTTCTTGTGTTGCCTTCAAAATCTGGCGTGTACTTTTTCCCCTTGCAGCATGTCTCATTTCAGACCAGCCGCATTCTAAGTACTCAACAGTCACAAGTGGTATTGGCTCCCGAACTCATAGAGCAGGTCTGGAGACATGGTGCCTTTCACGTAGGAGTTATTCAAGGTCCCTGCTCCGTGCCGTTGTCCCCCCTCCACACCCCCACCCCAGGGTGATCTCATCCCCTCCTCTGGTTTCCACAACCATTGCTGAGCTTGGAGCCCCTCCTACTTCCAGACCCTCATCCTCCCCACCGGGGTCCCACAGCCCCTCTGACTCAGTTTGGCTCACGTAGAACTCCGCATCTGTCCCCCACCTCTGCCCTGAATCACGCCCTTCTCCGGATTTCCCTGCCTATCTCTGCTCAGGACACCACCACCCACCCCATCCCCCCAAGACAGATACAGAGGAGACACCCTCACCTCCCCCACTCTCACCCACAGTCATGCCCCAGTTCTGTCAGTTCAAGCCCCTGCAGTGTCTCTGAAACTGTCCCCTTTTCCCCACCCCCACTGCTGTTCCTAGAGCTCAGCACTCTGTGTCTCTCCGCCACCAGGCCTGTCTGGCCCTCTGTTCACCCTGACCTTTCTCCAAACCTTTCGCCTCTGATTGTCCTTCTCTCATTTTTCTGGCTCCCCATCCCTCCACACACCTAACATTTAAATTTTGCCACAGTCGGTCCCCAAATTTTCAACCCAGTGCAATTCAACATTGCCAACTTTGTCTAACAGAATGGTCTGTAAAGTAGAGTGGCTTGCTGTAATGGCCACCCCTGGTGCTGGCTACTCCTGGAAACCTTCCTGGATCTCCCCTCTTCCATCCCCTGCCCCAGAACGGACTCCATCCGCTGAGGTTCCCCTAGCCCTGTTCACATCATAGCACATCTGTTATGTGTCATCGCTTTCTGTGTCCTGCTCTCTTCCTCCCGGCCCCTCCCTCCGACTGGAGCTCATAGGGCTTGGTATCTTATTGCTCCATCTCTGACCCCCAATTCCCTAAATGGAGATTAAATGATAGAAAATTGACTCCATCTCAGCTGTTTTACTTCATGTCCTCAAATCATTTCCTTCCCCACCCTGGCCTCACTCAGCTTTCTGGCATGTGAGATGGAGACAATCCCATTGCCAAGCATGCTTACCAGGGCTGGGAGGGGGGAGAGTGGTTTTTTTGTTTTGGTTTGTTGTTTTTCTTTTTTTCCATAGGTAGTAACAGCTGTAAACCCTCAAACCTTCACAGAGTAGAGCCATGCCTGTCCTTCTCCCTGGGTCAGCCAGGGGAAAAGTCCAGCTTGCCTCAGAATCTGAGGACCAAGAGAATCCTGGGAGCTTTCCTGGAAAGGTCTGAGCAGTGCAGCCAGGGAGCCAGGCCTTTGGGCAGATGCAGAGCAGCAGGAGGGACCAACATCCAGGCTGGGAAATAAGGGCAGGATGGAGGGGGCTCTGTCCTGGCCCGGGCTGTGAGAGCCCACCTCCAATTCTCTCCCTGACCAGTGCCTTCTGTGCTCTAGTCAGAGCCCTCGATATGGTCAGCAATGCAGTCAGTGGCAATGAGGACAGTGAAAGGGATCAATGGGTCACCTGTGGCCAGCCCTTCTCCTCCCCCTTGGGCACAGGCTTCAGGGCCCTTCTTATACACCTGCTGTTTGCAGAGAGCACATACCCACACTCACACAGCTAGAAAAAGATACACAGGAACACACAGAAAACCTGTGGGCACAGACCCAGACCCATGTGGATACAGTGACATGTTCATGTCGGACCCACATACACAGCCATATGTACTATTCACAGCCCACATGGCAACACACACACACACACACACACACACACGTAAATGCACCAGTGCTGGGGACAAGCCCTGCCAGGTGTCCCTCGGCTGGCATAGCTTGTCCCATCCCATCTGTGCATCATGGATACAAAGTCAGAGACTCTGGGTCCCTGGACCCTGTTGGTATAGTCAGGCTGCTCGTTGGGCAGGACTGAGGTCCCCAGTGGGGCAGATTTCAGGAGCTCTAAAATAGAACCCCACCCCACATCCTCAAGCAAATCACCACCTTCAGAGCCAAAGCTTCATTGCCTAGGGCACCACGGGAGCTCAGAGTCCTTCATGACAGTGGGAGTCTGGGGCCTTGGGAGAGAGAATTAAAGGCACAAGAGCTGAACAAGATGGAGGCAGGGGAAACAAAGAGTGAAAAATCAGCACAGTCAACTCTGGCAACATTCAGGGACAGCCCTGCTTGTGACACACGGGCTGTGACTAGAGCATCTGAAACTCGGGGGAAGCAAAGAAAGAATGGCAGAATATTGACCACCTGCTCCATTCTCTATTGATCCAGTCATTCATTTAAAAATATACTTAATGAGCCTCCGCTATATTCTAAGCACTGACTTAAGCACAGGGGATATCGATTTAATACATGGCAAAGTCCCTGCTCTCCTGGAGCTTGCATATACCCAGCCCTGTGTTCTCTTGTCCTCCAGTCTATCCACCTGTAAGTTTCCTTCCGTGCATTACCGTCTGCTAGGCTCTGTGCTGGGTTTTTCAGGACCAGCACAGCAGGATGTGGGCAGGTTATACCAGGTGGTTTTTGTAGGTGGGGAAAAGCAGTGAGTGCTTTAGAAACTCAGGAAAGAGAGATGTCACTGTGTGCCAGGAGCTCCCTGGGGAAAGGTTTTCAATAGCCAGGGAGGATGCTAACCATTGGAGACATGAAAAGGGAAGCACCCAGGCAGGGTATATCAGCCAGGAATCCTTGGATTGCAAGTAACAGAACATCACCATGTGAAGGAATATATTGGTTCGTGTAACCGTCAAGTCCACGACTGGGATGAGCTTCCACCTAGATTCTGGGACTTCCACACTGCCCTCGGGGTCTGCTCATTCACAGTGCTATCACCTCACCCTCTGAAGTTCGAGTTGATGAAGGAGCACCCCCACACTGCACATCCTCTTGGCTTCAGTCTCATGCCTCTGTTCTAGCATGTTCTAGTTGCCGCATTTCACAAGCTCTACCTGGGTCCTGTGCCCATCCTAAATGAATCACCATGCCAGGAAAAGTGAGGCTGTAACTGGCCCAAGTCCTGTGCTCTTCCTGAGCTCCACCCAAGCACAGGGCAGAGTGAACAACAAGTGGTGTCCCAGAGCAAGCAGAATTCCATGACAGCACAAAGATGAATGGACAGCTGGCTGAAAAGTGACCCCTGTTACACAAGAGAGTGGGCAAGCACAAAACATGGAGGAGGGAATGTGCAAGAAACAAGGGGTGCCTGGTGTCCAGGAAATGAAAAGTAACGAAGGGCATAAGGGTAAGCTGGTGTATGGGATTCTCCTTGTGAGAGCTCCAGGCTCAAAGCTGGACAGACTTTGGACTTGGTTGTGCAGGCCCCAGGGACCCCCGAAGGCTCCAGGGAGGGGGCATGGGAAGCAGAGGGAGGATGAGCCTCCTGGACTGTTGGGAACATGTGTTCACTCCGCCTTCCACCTGCCAACTCTCACGTTCTGGGGAAGTTCCCCATGTGGGGCACTTCCAGCCCCTCCTGCTCGCCAGCCTCTTGGAGCTACCATCAACGCTGTGACATTGAACAATGTTGCAGCAATATTGCCCCAGCTGAGCTCCAGGGAAGGGAGCCGACTGGTGGGTGGCAAGCCTTGGGCTACTCTGAGGAAGATGGAAGTGATGGCTGAGGGTGGGGTGATCGTTCTGGCTGGTGGGCATGGATTAGACGACAGGAGAGCATGATGACAAGAAGCACAGAGGTCAGTTGGGAAACTACTCTAGCAATTCATGCAAGAGAGTATGGTTTCCTGGAAGGCAGTAAAGAAAGTGGAGGAAGGAGGCAAGAGTAGGCAGATGCCGCTGATGGTGGAGCACTGAGAACCAACCACGGGACGTGGCAACATGGTCCCTGAGGCCTCTGGAGAGAGGAGTCTGGGTGGATGCCCAACTGAGCTAGGTCCCATCCACTCTCACCGGACTGTGGTATGGCCACTCAGGCTTGATTTTCCCCCATATCACCCTTGTTGGGTGAGCGCTCAGCCTGCCTCTCCCTGAGGTCATGCATGCCAGTCATTTCTTCTTGGGCAGTGAGCCTGCTACTCTCAGAGCTGCTGGACAGAGGGGCCTGTGCAGGGCCAGGTGCCTGGGGCCGCCTGAGCACAGTGACGAGGAAAGCCTTCAGGTACTGGCGGAAGTGGCGGCTGGAGAAAGCATAGAGAATGGGGGTGAAGCAGCAGTGAAGGAAGGCGATGCTCTCTGTCACCTGCAGTGCATAGTCCAGGTGCTTGGTAACCTTGCATTCCCCAAAGACTTGCAGGTCCAGCAGTGAGTGCAGAAACAAGGTGAGGTTGTACGGGAACCACAGCACAAAGAAGGCTACCACCAGGGCTACGACTATCCTTAGAGCCCGGCCCTGGCCCGGGGGCCTCAGCCTGACCAGCACACAGCCAATGCGGGAGTAGAAAAAGACCATGACAAGGAGTGGAAAGAGAAACCCCAGGAGGTTCTGCTGGAAACGGAGGAAGAGCTTCCAGATGGTCGCATGACCCCCAAAATCTGCATAGCAGTTCCACACACCTGTGGGGTTTTCATGTGTCTGCATAAAGACCATGTCAGGGATGGAGACAGCCAGGGCCACAGCCCATACCATGGCAGCCAGGAGCAGGCTTTTCGTCCGGGTTCTCAGCCTGTGATGGGGCTGAGTGTGGACGATCTCCAGGTACTTGTCCAGGCTCATGCAGCTAATGAAGAAGATGCCACTGTAGAAGTTGATGGTATAGAGGGTGCTCACCATCTTGCACAAGAAACTCCCAAAGACCCAATGCCAGGCCACAGAAATGCCCCAGAAAGGCAGTGTCACCACAAACAGGAGGTTGGAGATGGCCAGGTTCAGCAGATAGACCTCAGTCATCCGCCTGCGAGGTATATACCGAAGCAAGACCACTAGAAGAAGGAGGTTCCCGCCCAAACCCAGCACAAAGATCAGGCTGTAGAAGACTGGCAGGAAGATCCTGCCAAAGGCCAGCACCTCGTCCTTCCTGCAGAGCATGAAGGTCACCTGGTCCAGGTAGTACTCATAGTCATAGAAAGAGCTGCTGTTCTCAGAACTGGCGACCTTGGTGGTGGGCAGCAGAGGGGAGGCGGTGGAGGCCATGTTGGGAGGACACGTCCAGTTCTGGAGCTCTGTAGACCAGAGTACAGTGGGAGAGAAATAGTGAAACCAGACATTCTCTACCATTCTCCAAACCCACTTTTGCTACTGTTCTGGGAGGCCCCACAGACTCTTCACATCAACATCAGTACCTGTAGGCTAGCGAGGAAGAGCACAAGTGTGGGGAGCCCGAGCCTACCACTTATAGCTGTTACCTTAGGTGGGTGGCTTAACCTCAGGTGTTTTCATAGTACTCCCTTCTTTCATTATGGCTTCTCTTCTTTATTTTCTCCTTCATCGTTTGAAAGAATTGATAATCTTTCAGATTTTTCTTTATTATTTAGGGGTACCCATTCACCTGTGTATTGGGTCTCCATACTCTTCCTCGTGTGTGCCTTACAATTATTCTTCTTTGTGTGGCTTATGTTTTGTTTTTTTTTTTCAACAAGCACTTCTCTTCAGTGGGACTTCTTTTATCCATAAATGTCTAGTGTGTCCACTCTGGCTTTCAATTTTCTTGACTTCTATCACCTACGGGTTTCCCTTATTTTTATTATTTTAAAAATATTTTATTTATAAATATTTAGTTTTACATCAATATTTTTTATTTATAAATATTTAATATTTTAAAAATATTTTAAAAATAAAAATATTTTATCCAGTGTATCTAGGTTTATAGCAGAAAGGTGTGATCCATCATGCTGAGAGACTCAGAACCTACTAAACCTTTCCATCCCTCAGTTTTTCCATCTTTAAAATGATACTACTAATAATAGTACCTACTTCATGGGGTTCTTGTGAAGCTTAAATGTGATCATTCACGTAGAGCACTTCACACTCTACGAAAAGAGTGCCCAGAACATAGTAGGCACTCATTGAATGTTAACTTAAATTATTGCTTTGTTGAGAACTGAGTCCATCATCTTCCTACCAGTGTCTTCTCTCCTGCATCTCTCTAATTGAATGGCACCACCAACTACTCAGTCACCTAGGACTGAAATGTGGGAGACATTCCGGATTCCTTCCTCACCGCCCCCCACCACCTGCAAATCTCTACCTCCTTACTGCCATTTGAATATGCCCAACATTTCTAAGTCCCATAAAAATATATACATGATACTTGTTTAATAGAATTAAAACAAATGAAACAAAAATACTTTGAAAGAGTTCAAAGAGATGAAAGGGAAAGCAGGATGATAGGCACAGCATTCGAGATGGTGGCTGCCTGGGCAGAAGCCAGAGGCATGGAATGAGAGCAGGTCACTGTCTGTGGTCCAGTTAGTTCCCTCTGGGGCAGTGGTTTCCCAGGTTTTAATTGTATTTTTAAAAATGGTTTTTAAGGGCACCTGGGTGGCTCAGTCAGTTAAGTGTCTGCCTTCGGCTCAGGTCATGATCCCAGGGTCCTGGGATCAAGTCCCACATCAGGCTCCTTGCTCAGCAGGGAGCCTGCTTCTCCCTCTCCCTCCGCCCCTCCCCCTGCTCATGTTCTCTCTCTCTCTCTCAAATAAATAGATAAAATCTTAAAAAATAAAATAAAAATGATTTTTAAGAGAGAGACTCACATGCACCAGTGATAAGAATCTGTCATGAACCAAGGATTATGCTTAATCTTGTTTTGTGTTCCAGGAGAGAGACTTCATGTTCAACACATTGGATTGTTCACCAATGAAGAAGAGGGTTTTGGAGGAGAGAGTAGGAGATAAAAAAGAATGCGTCACTCAAGGAAGCACTCATGCACGGCCTCTGGAGTGGGGCCTATAGGCTGGTGATCATGGTTCATAAACCAAGAAATACAAATCAAGCCCACTTTGCACCTCTGTGTTTTATTTTTTATTCTTTGATTCAAGAGAGATTGAACTTTTTAGTATATTCAATGCCTATTTGTATTTCTTCTGTGAATAGTTCATTGTTTTAATGGATGGGATTCTCATTTTATAAGTAGTTTTATATGGTAAGGATTTAGCTTTTACATTGCAAACATTTGCCCCAATCCTTCCTGGTAGAAGTTTTGTCTCTTTTTTTTCCCAGGTAGAACTCTGAAAGAAATGTTGACTCAGGCCTTCAGCGGACCCATCCTATATCCATGACACTGGGACCTCACAGCTGATGGAAATATACAATGCTGCTGAGACAGAACATCTCCCAGGGAAACCCCAGAGTCTTCCTACTCATTGAGCCTCTGTACCACCCTTGGACTCCTATTAAATGGCATCTGCCAAATGTTGGGGAAAATCACACACATGCTTTAGCCCTACCTAGGAGCTCAGCCTGGGTGGCTTTATCTAGGGTTGGGCTCTGGACTGGCCTCAGGAACTTTGCCTGTGCCTTCCTTTCCTGGTCCTCCATTCCCCTCCTGTGCATCTGGGGTCTCCTTTCCCTGAGCCCCTCCCTTTCCTGGGCAACAGTAAGGGGCCTGGCTGGTGTTGGAGTCCATGAGCTACTGGAGTTGGGAGGAGGGAGTGCTCTTCTGCACTTGGACCTGATTAGGGATTATTAATCAGAAGTTATCACTAATTAAACACCGGCTCTTCTGGTCCAGCATTACTGACGTTGATTCTGACCTGGGTTCTCAAAGTCCCTGCTTTAACAAACAACCAAGTCTGATGATCGTTTTGATCAAAGCCAGAGGTTAGGGTCCAGGCTGGCCCAGGTCACCTTTACAAGGCTCCTTCCACCTGGAACACTGTTCCCTTCCCTCTTGGGGCCTCTGGCCTCCTGACCATTCACTCTGGGAATCTTTCCAGGTCACTTTGAACTCTGAGACCATGAACCCCATGCTCCTGACTGCCCTTCAGATCGCTGTCAACTCACACCTACCTGTCCCTCTGGACTCACTCGGGTTTTTCTTTTTTGTGTTCACTTTTCCTTATGCCCGAATTCATTTGGTTTATCCAGCAATACCTTGAGAGGAATAAATGAGAGTATCAGCTATTTACATGCTAGTACGAATTAGCAGTATGAAGTTCTGCAGTGGAACCTTTGGGGGAATCTAGGGAACTATACAGAGAGGGAGGATTTAAAGAGGAGGGAAAACAAGGGTGAGGTGAGCAGAGCTTCCCCGACAATGAAGCCAAGGGCACAAAGGCAAACTACAGCTTGTCTCTGGAGCAGTAACATCATCCTCTTTGTGACTTCCTGAAGCTGCTGGCCTGGGCTGACTCCAGCTTTGACTCAGCAAGAATCTCTGGCTGAAGAGTAATACCCCCATCTGAGGATCTAGGACTCGCCTCCCTAGGCCTCTCAGAGAAGTCACAGTGGAGGCAACAAGGGAGAGGATATCACTACGTCCATCTAGGCAGGAAGGCAGCCATGTTAGTGGAGCTCCTTCCATGAGCTGACCACACAGGTGTAATTTTCTCCTTTAATCCTCACCATAGTTCTGGGAAGCAATACTATTATGATTCCCATTTTTTAGATGAGGAGACTGAGGCTTGGAATCGGTGGAGTTCCATTGCCCCCAGCTTCAAGATCAGCAAATGAGGGACCCAGGATTGGATGGCCCCAACGATATAAGGTAGCACTGGTGACCCTTTTCCTCTAGCTCCCCTTTTCGGTATGGCCAAACCTGAAGTTGAAGAATGAGCTTCTGGTAGCGGGACTTCTGACCTTAGTAACCAGTGGAGAAAATATCCAAAGTCATTAATATGCTGAAGCAGCTCCCACAGGCTTGTGAGAGCCAGTTATGCAACATCTGGGAGGCATCCAACAAACACTCATGATATTAACCAGTTCTGCATTTGGGGATGTTAAGTTGGTAGCTTGAAACTGGTCATGGTGGGGATATTTACACCATGGCAAATGCTACAACTGGAGCTTCCTCTCCTTCTTGCATGTGCTCCCCACCCCCACCCCCATCCCTGAGAGCTGGTTTTTAAACCCTTACTGGCATACCCCTGATCAAGACCCCATGAAGCCTGACCTACCCCTGCCCATTTCCCTCTGTCCTTATCTGTGTCTCCATCACCTTTCCTCCTCGACCTGCCACATCGGTGCCGTAGCTGCCCTCCTCCCCAGCCAAGAGCCCTTGGGGACAGGGGCCCATGCAGGTTCCCCGTGGCCTGGCCATACTGAGCGTGCTGTCCACAGTGCAGCTGTGACTAGTGAACAAATAAACAAGCTCAAACGTTACCCCAAAAAGCCACACCAGCTTTCAAAATGTAAAACCAAGAATAACATCTGAGATCACTTCTAGTGAACAAAAATTATGCTGGCCTCCTTACAATTTGGAAATCATACCCTTTAAAATGCAACCCAAATTCTCCCTTCCCAGAAGGCTGCCCAGGCTGCTAGCCTGGTGTAACTCCTGCCCCAACCCCCAGCACTCGCAGAAGGTCACTCCTCAGTCGTGGAGCCTGGCTCCTTGGGTGGAGTCACCTTTTGAGAGTGGCTCGCCCCCTCTGCGAGGCAGAGGTTGGAACTCATTAGCACAGGGCTGGCATCTGAGAGGAATTCAGCAAGTGACCATGGACTCAATCAGTACTGTCACCTCTCTTCATCCCTTCTTCTCACGCCTCGTTTTTCCCTTGCCTGGTTTTCTGCCTGCCCCCCACTTGTGCCCTGGACACAGCAGAGCCAAGACCCTCCTTGTGTGGGGCCTCTCCCCAGCCCAGGCCAGCGTGCCGCTGGGCCTTGGGAGCCCCGAGCCATGGAGCACGTCCAGCCCACTGCTCTCCTGGAGCCATGTTCAAGTGCTGCCTCCAGTTGGCACAGCCTCCCTGGACCAATGTCACAGGATGTGCCCTCTGGCCACCCCCAGCTTCCTCCCTCAGGAGGCTCCCCTCCCCAGGAGGCTCTGGGAGGACTGGGGTGGAGATGGAGTCCCAAGGCCTGGACTCCACCCTGGCTCAGCTTGGGATGGGCCCCCTCTGCCTATAAATCTGGTTTGACCATTCTGCGTTTCTGGCCTCGCTGTGGCTGGAAAAATTGAAGCAAGGAGCTCTGAAGTGACGCCCTCTCTGACTGCAGCGTCTGGCTGTGGAAAGTGCTCCGGCCTTGGGACATAGGTAGAAGAATACTTGCCTTTGGGTGAACTGGTAACAGGTGGGGATCACTCTATTCCCCCACCGCCCCGGGGTTTGAGAAAACACCAGATGTTCAACTCTACTGCGTATATGACAATTACAGCAACAACAGTGACAAACACCCACCACTTCCATAGCACTTAGGTTGGGCCAGGCTCTGTTCTCAGAACTCGGCATGCATCCGTTCATTTCATCTTGGCAATACCACCCTGATGCAGGTGCTATTATCATCTCCATTTTATATAGGAGGAAAATTCATCACAGAGAGGCTAAGGAACTTGCCCGAGGCCACACAGCTAGTAAGTCACAGAGCTGGGATTTGAACGCAGGCTGAGTCTGAGCTAGCTCATTAAAAGACAAGGGTGAAGGATGGGGACTAGAGATGAAGTGACAGGAGACCAGGCTGCAGTTGTTGCTTGGGGTGCCTGAATGGAAGAGGCTGGGGGGCTGATGGTATGTGAAAGAAAAATGGGGAAAGGAAAGGCGAGCCACACAAGGAGGCCCTGAAGGAAGAAGTTTGGTGCCTCAGGAATAGCACACTGGGAGAGAACTCATGAACAACCTACTCGGGGCAGAGCCGGGTCTCTGCTTCACTGCTTGGTTTGGGATGCCCTTGGGCTTGAACTTCGGGCCCTGCCAGCCCTAATACAAAGTCAAGGCTTCCGTCCTGGAGCTCTTGACTTGCACAAGCCTGTCTTCTTGCCCATAAAATAAATAGCACTCACAGCAAAGAATTTTGTGAGGAGTAAATCGCGGGCAATCATTTTAACAGCTAACATCATAGAGCCCTGACGGTGTGCTGGGTGCTGGGGCAAGGAGTTTTACACGTATTGACTTACTCAATCCTCACATTTACCTTACAGAAGTTATAGAAGTTAAATACTATTATCAGCCCCATTTTATAGCTGACAACACTGAAGCACAGAGAGGTTAGGGAACTGGCCCAAGATCACACAGCAAGTGACTAGTAGATCCAGGAATTGAAACCCAGATTTTTTTTAAAAGATTTTATCTATCTATATATTTATTTTGAGAGAGAGAGAGTGAGCACAGGGAGAGGGGCAGAAGGAGAGGGAGAGGGAGTGAATCTCAAGCAGATTCCACGCTGAGCGTGGAACCCACCATGGGGCCTGGCTCAATCTCACAACCCTGAAATTATGACCTGAGCCAAAACCAAGAGTTGGACGCTTAACTGAATGCGCCCCCCCAGGCGCCCCTCCCAGAGTCCATGCTCTTAAACACTGAGTCATACTGCCTCTCAGAGAAAATAACAAGCCAGTTGTAGTCCCCTCTGCCAAGCTTTCTGTGTATTCATGCACTCACTGCTCACAACAACCTTGTGAGACAAGCACTATTCCACTCCCATTTTACAAATGAGGAACTGAGGCTCAGAGAGGGGGACTAATCTGCCCAAGGCCACTCAGCAAGTGTGCTACAGGGTCAGAAACGGAGTCCCTGCAGCGGATCCAGGGCCAGAGCCCTGGACCATATGCTGGGAGCTCCACTGCTGGGAGCCCTGACCTCAGACTCACGGGATGGACAGCTACCCTCTTCATGGTCCACTATGAGAAGCCTTCATTTGGACTCATTGTGATGTATAAAACACAATGAAAACAATAGTAACGGGTCCTGACATTTACACAGGGCTCCATGCTTCCCCAGACTCTTATAGCCTGGTCCTTGCAAGTCCTCCTGGGTCCCTTGTTAGAGGCAGCAGGTGTTACCTCCATGGTTTCTCAGGAAGCCCAGAGCCACACCACAAATCAGGCAGAGCTGACCTTAGAGCCTCGAACTGCGGAGCCCTGGACCGTGGCACACTCTCCTTTTCTCTTTACTTTTTTTAACATGCATTTTTCCTGATTACAAAAATAATATGTGCACAATGTAAAATGCGGAAATATAAGGGGAAAAAAATAGAAAAGAGGCTAATTGCCTCCAGGAATAATCTTTGGGAATGTTTTGGTGTATCTTGTCTGTTTTCATGTCCAGAGCTCCGCCCACTGCACTAAACCCCCCTGGATTTGTGGAATCACAGAGCCTGGCTGGAAGAGTGGTTTGTCCAGTCCCCTGCAGGGCATGAGGGCCTTTGAAGTTTCCTCCTGCTCCCTGGGAGATGTGAGGCCCGCCTGCTCCCCATGCTCCCTGGGACCCACATTACTTAATGTTTCCTGGCTCTTATCAGGGACTGGGGATGTTTGCGACATTGATAAAATCACCAGGCAACCCCTCCTCCCAAAGCTTATTTCAGTTAATAAAAACGAAGTGGTTTTAGAGCCCAACTCTTGAAGGAGCTGCTGCAGAAGCAGGTATGATTGTCATGTCATGTCTTTCCTGAATCGTTTTTGCTGTTATCTCAGTTTTGTCTCTCTCATTGTTGCCTGAACTCTTACCACGAGAGCTCCTTGCATTTATATTTCAGCATTATGCTTGGCTCAAAATGAAATACAGTCATCACCTCCACTACCCTCAGGGAGGGTGGGACACTCAGCATGGTGCAGCATGGAAGAATAGACAGAATAGATTAGTCCACTTCTTAATGGCTGAGTCACCCTGGGCAAATTGCCTAACCTCTCTGAGCCTTACCTATAAAATGTCTCCTTCTTGAAGTTTTTCTAATAATTGAATGAGTGCCATAACTATCAGTTCCCTTCCAGGCCCATAAATAACACTTGGCTTAGCCAGGGATAGATAAGAGAAAATCCTGAGGCTGTCTGGGGCAGAAGGAGGGAGCTGAGGACCTGGGCAGGGAGTAACAAGAGAGGACCAGGGGGCACAAGGAGAGCATGTGGATGTGTGCAAAAGAAGACCACAGAGCTGGGGGGGTGGTTTAAAGACCATCTCATCTGTCTCCGCTGGGGAACCCGAGGCCCAGGGAGGAAAGGGAATGCCTGAGGTACTCAGTTGTCTGATACCAACTCTCAGGGACTTTCAGAATCCACAGAGCAGATTCTCAGAGTGGGAGTCAAGGGGGATGTGGACAGCAGACAGCCTCACTCCCCAGCTGCTGAGGCAACTGCTCCAAGAGTTGCCCTAAAGAGAATGCTCCACCCTGACCCATTCACACTTCCCTCTCCCCACACCTGTGGCCACTCTCTAAGCCACCGGACCCAGTCTCTCCCTGCAGCCCGTGGGTAGGGCCCACCCCACTCCAGCCATGGCCATAACCTCCCAGAGCCAGACCCACTTGCCGAGGGGTGTCCAACCTCACCCAGGAGGAGAGCAGCAGCTCCTGGATCCTGCTTCCTCAGAGAAGTGCAGAGAGAGTATGAGTCTTTCGCCCGCTCTGGATCAGCCCTGCACACATCCCGCTTTATTCCGGAACAAAGCATCCCTTTGCGCCTGCCCCAGCCTATTTCCCTCCCTGGAAACGAGTCAAGCCCATACTTGACCCACCAGCCTGAACCTAGGGCCAGGCAAGAGCAGAAACTCACTGACTCTGTGTGTGTGTGTGTGTGTGTGTGTGTGTGTGTGTGTGTGTGTGTGACATTCTGCTTGCCATATGCTTGCCAGTATGAGGGTACTTCTCTGCCAGAACAGCACCTGTGGTCTGGGGGCAATGTCTCGGCCACCTCCCCCTCCAACCCCACTACCAGCCTGATACACAGCAGGTGCTTGGTCAATGCCTGCTGTCTGTACCTGAATTAAGCAGTAACAGAATAATGCCAGGTGGTCACAGGTCCCAGCATTGGAGTCACACAGTGCCGGGCTTAACTCTGACTCTGTGCGTACCTATGTGTGATCTAGAGAAGGTGGCTTCACCTCTCTGCACCTTGGTGTTCAGATCTGTATTGGGGGTGGGAACGCTGCCTTCCTCGGACAGCCACCATGAGAACTAAATGTCCCCAGAGAGGTGGACACGGACTTCAACATCTGCCTTTCCCTGGGGTCCACAGGCCACCTAGCGTGGAGGTCAAGCTGTGATGGGTTCTCACTCCAAGAGAGGGGAGCAGAGGACCTTCCAAGTGGGTGGGTCTCCAAGTCTCTCCAGGCCAGATGCTGGTTATCAGCAGGGAGGATAAAGAATAAGGAGATGCCCAACAGAAGCCATAGAGCCCTGGTTCCATCCTGGGGATGGATAACCTTTTAAGATTGGCTTGTCTTCCATTCTGTATTAAGTCTCTCGAGAGAATTAGAACAGCTAAGTTCTAGAACCTAGGCTCTTTCCTCATCCCCCCCCACCCTGTTCAAACTTTTTATTTTAAGATAATTTTTAGACTTGCAAATATTGTGCACAGAATTTCTATACACCTGTCAGCCAGTTTCCCCTAATGTGAACCACAGAACCACAGTATAATGATCTAAACCAAGAAAGTAATATTGACTCAATACCATTCTACAGACCTTATTCAAATGTCACCAACTGTCTCACTAATGTCCTTGCTCTGGTCCAAGATCTGAAGCAGACTCCCACATTGCATTTGATTGTTGTGGCTCCTTAGTCTCTCCATTTCTGGGGCAGTTCCTCAGTCTTGCTTTGTCTTTCATGACCTTGATAGTTTTGAAGAGGAATGCAGAATATCCCTAACTTTTGGTTTGATGCTTCTTCAAGATTAAATTACAGTTATGTATTTTAGGCAGGAGCACCACAGAAGTGATGTTGTGTCCTTCTCAGTGCATTATACCAGAGGTATATGATTTCAATACATCTCATTACTGGCGATGTTAACTTTAATCACCTGGTAAGATGGTGTCTGCCAGGTTTTTCCACTGTAAAATTACTATTTATTCCTTTGTAATTAATAAGCATCTTGTGGGGAGGTACTTTGAGATTATGCAAATACTCGTTCTTATCAACTTTTGCCCACTAATATTAACATTCATTGATGATGCTGACAATTTTTACTGTATTGTTTGCCAAACAGTGATTTTCTATTTTCATAATTCTTGTGTGTGTGTGTGTGTGTGTGTGCTGGTAAAGTTTATTTACATTGCATTTTATCACATCAGTCACATTTAAGTCCTGAAGACTTGTATTTATTTACATAGAGAATCCAGTACATTCCTGGGAAATTTTTTTTTTAATTAAAGATTTTTATTTATTTTTTTGACAGAGAGAGAGAGACAGCGAGAGAGGGAACACACGCAGGGGGAGTGGGAGAGGGAGAAGCAGGCTTCCCTGCCAAGCAAAGAAGCCGACGCGGGGCTCGATCCCAGGACCCTGGGATCATGACCTGAGCCTAAAGCAGACACTAAACGGCTGAGCCACCCAGGCGCCCCTGGGAGATTTTGTTTTTTTCAAAAACAAAAACAGGGGCGCCTGGGTGGCTTAGCAGGTTAAGTGTCTGCCTTTGGCTCAGGTCTTGATCTCAGGGTCATGGGATGGAGCCCTGCATGGAGGTCCCTGCTCAGCTGGGAGCCTGCTTCTTCCCCTCCCTCTGCCCCTCCCCACACTAGCACGCGCACGGGCGCACGCGCTTTCTCTCTCTCTCTCTCTCTGTCTTGAGAAAACAAATAAAATCTTTAAAAACAAAACAGGAGGGAACTAATATGACAGTTGGGTAGCTTAATGAACCTCATGCTTCTTGGGGGCTCATCTGGGATTTTAGAGTGAACTATATCCAAGGGCTGCCAATGGCAACTCATGAGAGAGTCGTAGAGTTCCTTGCTTTTCACCACAAAGTCCTTGTTTAATTCCTCAATATTCAAATGAAGTTTTGGATCTTCCAGTGGGTCTTCATCTTGCTTTTCTGCCAGAGCTGTGCTTTCCTCAGGCATGACCAGAGTTGCAGCCGGGCGTCCAGAGGTCCCGTGCACAGAAAAGTTGTGTGCATTTCCATCTGCTGCACAGCCACACTTGGAGCCAGAAAGGGAGGAACCACTGTGCGTTGCTCAAACTAGTTGCCTGAGTGGTAACCCTGGCAGGGCTGGAACACTGGCTTCGCCTCTGCCAGGACCAGTAACAATTACTCTGTGGAGCTATGCCAAAACCTGCGAGACTCTCCTCCCCAGTCTTTTATCCAGAAACTTTACAAAATGACACCAGTTTTATGCCTACGTCAAAAATTCCAGCTCAGGGAGCTAAAACCTCTTACCCCAGCAAATCACTCTCACAACTTCCATCATTCTTTTTACGTTTACTAATTGGGCTTTACCATAAAAAAGAGTTGGCCCTTCTCTCAACTTATTTATGTATATCGGTATGGACTCATGAGTATTAATTTTATTCCATTATTATCATCATTGATTTTGCTGTTCAAATTGTCTCATCCTCTTTCGAAATACCTCAGCCCATCTGCTTCCTCTTGAGCTGAATTTCCAGCCACAGCCCCTCAGACACCTACTCCCTGGTGTGCAGGGCAGGTTGTGGAGATTCACAGCCCTTGCACCGATGGCCAGGTTTCTGGGGAATTCACTGAGGCATTTTCCCAGCAAAGGCTGGATCCTCCTGGAATTGGCAGGGAGTTCCAGGAAGGGTTGAGCCTGCCTTCCATAGACCCACCCCAGTCGTGACCCAGTAGCAGCACCAGCCGACCACCTCATGTGTCCTGCGTTTTTCCTTCTTGACCCGCTCTTCTCTGCCCAGCTGCTGGGATAGTAGCCGAGAAGTCAGGCGGCAGACAGCTGGGCAGCACTTGACCATATTCTTTGATGCAGAGGAAGCACCCTCCTCCTGGGGTTTAGTTCCCAGCTGTTCTCCACGAGTCCCAAGAGTAGCCAAAGCAGAGAGAGCAGGGCACCGTAGCAAGAGAGACTACTTAAGGACAAGAGGGACTTGCCCATGTTGACCTGGGCCGGGAGGAGAAGGCTCTGAACTCATCTTCTTGCTCTTTAAGATGTGCAAGGATAATTCGCCCTGGGAAGGGTGCAGACCCCAGCCCCTGAAGCCAGGCAGCCAGGATGCACAGGGCCCTCTCCTACAGGATGCCATGTTGCTTCAACTTCAGAATAGAGATCCTAAAATACATACTGCTCTCACATGCTCCTAACACACAATTCTAACACGTTGGACACATCTACTATTACAGCAAAAAGTGACACCACATTTTCAAAACACCTGCTTCTATTGTCAGCCAAGGACTTGAATCTGTGAAGCTTTTGCTGGCAGCCTGACCCTTCCTGTCCTCCACCAGCCACTCCAGGCCCATCTCCCCTCAGAAGCTTCCCCAGTCTCTCCAGGCCTCCATGATGCCCTGCTTTGAGCCTCCTGAGTCCATAGGGGAAATATTGTTCAGGGGCAAGTCTGTCTCCTTACTAGATGCAAATTCCTCATAGCCAGAGGTTTTGTTCACCTGCACGCAGAGTGCCTGGCACTACTCACACGGAGCCCAAGCCAGAGGGCCGGGCAGGTGATTTGCTGGCATAGCCCGGCCAGCACTTGACAAGCTGGCGTTCTCATGGAAGAGCGCCAGTTTGGCCCTGCCTCCCACTCTGCCTCACTCTCCATCTCTTTCTCTCTATTTCTCTGTCTTCCTTGGGCAAACTTCATCCCCTTTTGGGCCAAGCCCATGACAGGGTCAGTCTGGACTCTCTCTAGGCTCTCCAAGTTGGAATTTCTAAGCTACAAACTTTCCCCCCAATTTAGAAGTTCTGGTAAAGTCCATGTTTACTCACGTTGAATAGATGTCATGCCAGAATCTCACGCCAGACCAAGTTCTTCCTATCATGCTCCATTGACGGCGCAACAGGAAGGAAATTTTGCTCATCTCACCTCTTCCATTTCCTCTTTCTGTGCCGCCCCCACCGGCTGATCCCTTCTAGCCACCCAGCCTGTCTCTCCTTTTGTACCTCTGCCCGGTGTGTTGTGTTCAGGGCTTTGGGAGGGGGCTGCTTTCAGCAGAGGGAGGGAGGGCGTGTGTAACCTTCCCACCATGTACCAGTCCCTTGCCTTGGTACAAATATATTTGTTTGCAATCAATGTATTTATTCATTTATTAAAATATCTTCAACCACATATTACACGTTAGAGTTCTCCAGATGTCTTCTCTGTGGGTTAGGCAAAGCTGAGGTTATCATACCCATTTTGTAGACAAGGTTGCCAAGGCTCAGAGAGGGCAAGTCACTGGCCCGGAAACACATAGCTGATAGGAGTCACCAGGGCCTTCTTGCTCGCATACCAGTGCTCTCTTGTCCACAATGCATGTGAATATTCTCTTTAATTCTTTTCTCCTTCCTGCTCCCCAACCCCTCCAACTCAGATCTCAGTTAACTATTCCAGGACAGAAGTTATTTTTCATTCATCTGAGGATCTCTCACACCACAGCCCAGCCGGTGGTTAACACAGCAGACACTGAGTAAAAATTTATTGAGGGAATGCATGTTTCTATGCAGAAAGCCTTCCCAAGAATCACCTACTCTTATCTAAGACTGGT